TCGTTCAAGAAGAGAACCCGCTTGCCATAAACGCCCTGTACGACTTGTCTGTAGACATCAGTAAAGTCCGGAAGCTGAAGGGTTGGGTGTTGCGCCAGAGTCCCGTGTACGTGAACGAGACCGCCACTCTGCTGAGGGACATGGGGGCTAGTGGGCCTGTTATCGCCCGCATTTTGGAACTCCATCCTGAGGCCATCCTCTGTAAACCTGATCAAATGGAGGCTCAGAAAAAGCTGTGGATGTCAGTGTGCACCAGCCAGAAGGATCTAGTAGGAATCATTGAAAAATTCCCCACCTCGTTTTTCTCCTCGTCCTCCGATCACGACAACCAGAAAGCTAACATTGCGTATTTCCAGACGTTACATCTCAACAAACGCATCATTAGCAAGCTCATGGCCAGCGCCCCTCAGAGCTTCAGCCGACCCATGAAGCAAAACAAGGAGATGATCCAGACCCTGCAGATGACCTATTTGGACTTGGGTGGGAAGGAGGACAACATGAAGACCTGGTTGCAGAAGCTGCTTACTCAGAATCCCTACGTGCTTCTAAAGCTTCCAGAGGTACTGCACGATAACTTGGCGTTCCTACGCACCGTGGGCTTTACTGGCGATGAGCTCTTCCGGCTGCTTTCCAAACTGAAGGGATATGTTACTGAGCTGAACCCTGAAAGTATGAGACTCACCCTCAACTACTCCCAGGAGACTTTGGGATGCACAGAAGCAGAGCTCAGGCAGATCGTACTTCAGTGTCCAGCCTTGTTATACTATTCTGTGCCTATACTAGCTGATCGCTTCAAAGGCCTCCTCACTGCTGGAGTAAGTATGGAGCAGATCATGGAGACTCCCACAGTGTTAGAACTGACAATGCAGATCATTCAATATCGCATTCAGAAACTGCGCTCTTTTGGTTATGATGTACGTTCAGGTAGCCTGGAAGTCCTCGACGGCACCAAGAAGGACTTTGAGGTGAGCTATGGGAAGTTGCATTTTAGGCGAGAGAGGCCACTTTTTAATCCAGTAGCTCCACTTCAAACAGAAGATTAAGCATGGAAGCCTGTTTCCACCATGAAATAAAGTAATTATGACTTTCTATCTCAATTTTGACTTTATTTCTCACAATTCCGAGTTTACATCTGGCAATTTTGAGTTAAAGCTGCAGTCCGTAAGTTTTGCCTCTTTGTCGCCATCTCTGTTTGAAAACCTGCAATTGCAGCTGTCTGCGGAATGATCTTCCTTGCGTGGGTTGTGCAGCGGCACGGCTCCAGCGCGGATGAATCTGGTTGTCTTTAAAATACAAATCGTTTGTAATCCCAGGCTATCTAAGCACATTTAAAACTGGAATATAATTTAATTTCATTCACATGTGTTTCATAAACACAGTCCTTTCTGGATTACAATCCGCCATCAAAATTATACATTTAATTATTCCCTCTGCTGTGAGAAAAGGCTATAAACAATCCTCCACCTGCAGGATCCTCACATGCGATAGCCTAGTAGCCGGGACAACTTCTTTATGTTTACAGAAGTGACGTAATGACACAGCGCCATGCTCGAATTTCCCGCGAAAACCTACCCGTACCACTCAAATTAGAAAACATTATTATAAGCTAAGTAGCTAACTGTTGTGAATCGGGCTAAAGTAAGGCGATAGTTTTGAACACTGGCTGGTTATGTACTTGCTCAAATATTGATTTCAGATCATTTTTAACCAAAAAAAGTTACGGACTGCAACTTTAACATTACGCAATTTAGATTTTTTTTTCTCAGAATTGCGAATTTTTAACACAATTCTGACTTGTCGTAATTCTGAGTTTGTATCTAGCAATTTTTAGTTTTTTTCCTCTGAATTGTGAGTTTATATCCAATTCTGAGCAAAAAGTCAGAATTGTGAGACATGAACTTGGAATTGCAAGAAATATATCTTGCAATTCCTAGTTTATATCTGACAATATTGAGTTAACATCTTGCAGTTTGGACTATCTTTCTCAGAATTGTGTGTTTATAACACAATTCTGACTTATTTCTTGCAATTTTGAGTTTAAATCTCGCAATTTTGAGTAAACATCTCACAGTTTGTATTTATCAGAATTGCGAGTTCATAACACAATTCTGTTTTATTTCTCACAATTCTTAGTTTATATTCCAGAATTCTGAGAAAAAAGTCTGAATTCTGATATAAAAAGTCGCAATTACAATTTTTTTTATTGCATGGCAGAAACAGGTTTCCATAATTAAAATGGTATGTGCTATAAACAGTATATTAACAGCGGTTTCCTTTGTTTGTTTTCTGTATGAATACATTTATTTATTTTATTAATTTGCTTAAAGGAATAAATTGTCGAATGTTTTGTTAAAGCTGCAGTCTGTAAGTTTTGCCTCTTTGTCGCCATCTCTGTTTGAAAACCTGGAATTGCAGCTGTGTGCGAAATTATCTAGCTTGCTTGGGTTGTGAGTCGGCACGGCCCAGCGCGGATGAATCTAATGTTCTGAAGAGTATGTGTGGCAGTCAGTCACCGCACCGGTGTGTATAGTTACTGTACTTCGCAATCACAGATTCTAGCCTACGTCTTGGAATATGACCCATATAAGAATTTTCAGCGTATATTGCCATTTGAACAAGCAAGTAACAAGTCTGCCACGTTTGTTCTGACCAACTGAGGAGTGCCTAGAAAAGCGCTATATAAATGTAATGAATTATTATTATTATTATCATACTCTTCGAATTTCATATTAAGAAATTCTTTTAACCCAAAAAGCAAAATATGCTCCCTTCGAACTGGTTTTCTTTCAAATGCAAATCTTTGTAATCCCAGGCAATCTGTAATCAGAAGCACATTTATAACTGGAATATATTTTAATTTTATTCACATGTGTTTTAATAATAATAATAAAAATCTGTGACCCCCAAACTTTTGAAGTTTATATTGTCAGCATAACAATTAACACAAATGTCTAATTATTTGGTATGTATCCCTTTTGCTTTTATGTTTTCAATGTTATCCAGCATGCTTTGAGAATGTTTTAAAAAAGGATCTTGTGTGAAATGACTGGTGAGCCAAACTCATGTTTGGGAAGGCCAGTTATATACCTCAAAAAATCCCCAAAAGGTTGACTGCAGCGTTACAGCAGGACTTCATCCTAGCTGCAGACTCCATCTAGTGGGGAGAGTCATTCACTGTCACAATGAATACTGGACAATCACTCAGATATATAGAAACATAATAATAATAACATCCTATTAAATGTGGTCAATGAGTTGCTGCACACTTTACATTTTAATTTTGATTAGAAACAAACTTTATTATAGCACCAAAGATTTAATTTTACAAAAAAAAACTAGTGTATAGAACGATATCACAAATCTAAGAAGTTAAATACACTGCCTACATAACATACACGACAGAAAAACTAATAGCCTACTAACAGCAGATGGTATGTAACTTATACACAAACCATATATAATTTTTTCTTAGTAACTGTAACTGATTACAGTTACATTTATTTTGTAATTAAATTACGTAACGCCATTACATGTAACTAGTTACTCCCCAACACTGTCAATCACACACGATTCTGTTGCGCTTATGAATGCAATGGCCAATCAGAGACGTTCAGATGAGTCATCGCTGAACGCGGTGTTTTGTTTACTAGCTCGCTGGACTGCGCAGATGTGAGTGCGAATGTAAGCTATTCATTTCACAGTGTAAACAGCTTCAGTGATTTAAATGGGCGTTTTTGAGAGTGCCTGAACTCTGGCTAGACTAGGTTCGTAGAATCCAGTCATAAAAACGGAATTCCTATAGCCTAACGCGGACGGAATATGCCACATTTTGGACGAATAAATGAAAAGTAGGTCAGTGTACTTGAATCAAAACGCGATATGGACTAGTGTCTGAATATTAAGCCGCGAAAAGACAATATATGAATCCTGCACGTTCTGTGTGTCTGTGGAAATATAAATCCAAAGACAATGGTTACTATTGTCAAACCATGGCAACCACAAATTAACCATGGTTTTTGCTACACTAGCCATAGTTTATTAGGGGGAGCTAGGGCAGACAACAACACAACACTTATGAAAATTAACAATGATTTTACTATAAATGCAAAGACAATGGTTACTATTGTTAAACCATGGTAACCACAAATTAACCATGGTTTTTGCTACACTAACCATAGTTTATCCATGGAATTTGTAGTAAAAATAAATACAAATGGTAATCCATTTGCCAAAAAAAAAACAAAAACACCATGGTTACTGTACTTTTACTATAATAAAAGCATGGTTAATTTTTGTAAGGAAAAAACATGACTCATGTTCAGTATTAGGATTGTTCTATAAAGATATTGTAGTGATGTTCTAACTTTGACATAGGCAATTTAGAAAGTATAGTTTTGTTAAATCTTGAGTATTAAAGTCATGAGAGCGATAGATATCACGGCAAAATAAAGAGACTGAAAAGAAAAATGGTAATAAGCCTATTACTGTATATCATTTATACAGTGCTATTGTGGCTGCTGTCACATGACAAGTCACATGACAAGCCCCCCCCCACCCCCACTCGTGCCCCCTCAAAAATCATGAGCGCATGAGATGAGTAACAGTGGATCTGGTTAGTGGTCACAAACTTGTCGCATGTGTAATCGTGAGAGAAGCGGTGCTCATCACTGGCAGCATTGTCTGAGTGCATCTGCTGTTTCAGATCATGTGTGGTGTGATTTCTTATGTAATGAAAAAAGATATTAGATATTAGGTAAATGATCTTCACATGGTTTATATGAAGAACTAGCCGCTTTGAAATGCTTATGGTTTGGATGGTGATGAAGTCCACCAAGTTACATACTGTAGCTCTCAACAGAGCCTTTGAGATAAAGTGTTCTTCTGTGCAATATTGTTAGATTCTACAAAGTTCAAAGAGAATGTAAATGTTTTGTGAAGGAACACAATTTTTTTTGGTAGAATGCAACACTTTTGCGAGAGAACACAAAGTTTCTCAGGGGAATGCAAATGTTTTGCGAGAGAGCGCAAAAGGGAATGCAACAAAGAAAAAGAAAACGCAAAATGTCTCGGGAAATTAATACTATTGCGAGAGAATGCAACTGTTTTGCGAAAGAACGTAAAGCTTTTCCGGGGGGGAAGCAATACATTTGCGAGACAACACAAATGCATTTTTCCCTCCTTTCTCATATTTATTTCTATCACCATGTCCCCTTTGGGGCTCCGTAGTTTCAGATTATGTAAACATAAAACAATTCCAGTATCATGTTTGTCCGTCTGGTCTCTTCACAGCTTCAGTTTTAAGCTTCTTTCTTGAAGACTTGAAATTGAAATTTAATACCATTTTCTTCATGAATTTCATCTGGTACTCCGGGAAAGCTTATATAAAGAAAATCAACAATTAATCAGACAAATTACAATGCATTTGCTGCATAATATGAGGCAAGTATTATCAGTAAGACTTTACAACAAGGTTCCATTTGTTAACATAGTTAACTACATTAGTTAACATGAACTCACAATTAAACATACTTCTAAAGCATTTATTAATCTTAGTTCATATTAATTTCAGCATTTACTACATTATTGAAATCAAAAGTTGTGTCTGTACATTTAATTTAATGGACCTGAGTTTACATGAACTAACAATGAACAAACATTAACAAAGATGAATAAATACTGAAGCAAATGTATTGCTCATTGTTAATGTTAGACGATGCATTAACTAATGTTAACAAATAGGACCTAACTGTAAAGTGTTGCCTTATTATATTCGTAACTCAAATCATAAATGAGGGGATAATCCTACCCCTTTTGTTTTCTGAAAACATTGCGGTCAAATTTTGGGAAAAAGACATCACAGTCAAAGTCGGCCATGATGTCAGTGAGATAGATGAGATCACACCATGGATGCTCAAGACTTTCCTAAATAGCACAGTTACAATATTAATTGAATTACTGTATAAATTTACACTTATTACATTGTATATACATGTTGCATAAATCAGGCTTCTCACCTTATACACCTCTGGGCCTCCTAAAACCCAGATGGTCTCCACAATGTGACATAAGGGAGGCTCAGAAGCCAGGTGAATTACTGATCCGAAATCCTTACACAGACAGTGGGCACGTGGAGGCACTGCACTGAAGTAATGCAGAATACAGTAAATAAATACAGAAATCATAATATACGCTACTGTTTAAAAGATTGGGGTCAGTATATTTTTTAATGTTGTTGAAAGAAGTCTCTTATGCTCACCAAGCCTGCATTTATTTGAGCAAATACTAAAAAGAAAAATTATAATATTGTGAAATATTATAATTTAAAATGTTTTAAATGTAATTTATTCCTGTGATGCAAAGCTGAATTTTCTGCAGCCATTTCTCCAGTCGCTAGTGTCACATGATCCTTTAGAAATCTTTTAAATATGCTGATTTTTTTTATTATTATAAATGTTGAAAACAGTCATGCCGCTTTATATTTTTGTGGAAACTGTGATACATTCTTTCAAAGATTCTTTGATGAATATAAAGTTCCAAAGCATACAACATTACAACATTTATATTAAATATAAATCTTTTGTAACATATAAATGTCTTTACTTTTGATCAGTTTAATGCATCCTTGCTGAACAAAAGTGTTGATTTCTTAAAAAAAAAAAAATCTTACTGACCCCAAACTGCAGTGCAGTTGCATAAAAATGTTTATAAATGAACATACTTACATCAGCTTCCTGCTCAATACCAAATTGATGCAGTTGGCCAAAGGGAAGACCGTCTCAGAACAGGAGAACCAGCAGATTCGCCCCCAGACAACCAGATTCTTCTTCCCTGATGTGCACCAGAGAAAAAGAACTGTTGTTTTTTTTTGTTAATTATACTGTTAAAATTACATTAACTAAAATATAAATCAAACCAAACATAACATTTAACGACACTTACCAGGTGCTGAAACAGCTGTAATTGTATCCATAAAGAACTGAAATTCTTTTCTGTAAACAACATGAGCACATTAGATATTTTGTGCGCCATTTGACACATTAATTCAACTTTGATAACAGCAAAGTGTGCAAAATGCAATTCGAGCTGCATGACAAATATCTTTGATGTGTTTATAGCTTTCAAAAAAGCAGGGTTGTGTGCCCAAATCAGAGTTGAACCAAAGTTATCCTGCATCACACTGCATGCGTTGATCCTGTTTAATAGGTATGGTTGAGAAGGCTCATACCAACATAATATCATATACCAGAAAGATAAAGAAATTCCCAATAGTCTATAGCCCCTGTCTGCACATGCTGTTATCTCTTATCTCAAACGGGGCGGGCACTGGGGGGCTCGAAGTTTCCATCTCTCTAATTCAAAAACTTGCTGACATTCAGTTTGAGAGGTCTAAAGGTCAGTGACATATTCCACGAGAAAGAGAGAGAAAAAAGAGGTGCAGAAAATGTTCAAAATGACAAGTGGTAAAAATAAACATTTCAAAATGAAATCTCAAAATAAAAAGATCAAAATAATTTTATGTGAGCTGTGTGTGTACACACACACACACACACACACACACAGAGAGAGACAAAAACTTGAACTTAATAAGAAACAATCTTACAAAAACTTGTAACTTGTACCATGGATTTAAATTGTTGCACACAGTCCAGAAGGTACAAGACCGCTGTAATCAGACAGACACCGATTTGATGTTTTTAAACTAGTTATTGCTATATAACTAGTTTATGCCTCGAATGCTAATAAAGGAATTGGACACCAAAGTGTACGTCGACCGTTCCCGATCAAATATTCGTCACGTCACGTCGTTCATGAATTCATCTGATTACTGATCCAAACTATTCATTCATATCTAACATAACTTATAAAATAGAGCGATTCCAACTGGACAAAATCGCTGGATTGAGAGAGCATTGTAACTGAGTATGTCTTACGGAAGGCTCCAGGGAAGCTGTCCGTTCTTTCCTATGCCCATGTCACTGCAGGCAGCCGCGATGAGCCGGATTGGTTTGCGCATCTCCTCCCCCTCGATGTTCATCATTTACGACTTTCGCTAAGAACAGCTTATCTGGTTTATGTTACAAACTACCGTCGTCCATTGGGCTTTAGATGAGGTGTTGGCATCCTTCTCGACCTCAACCCAGTTAGATTATGGAGCTTTTAAACATCTGCTTGAGTCACCATGTGACACCATGGGTGTGGCTGTCTGTAATCAATGGTGTTTACAGGTTAAAGAACCAGATAAATAAAAAAAGTAACATTATTCTAACTACACCTTTTTATTATACCTTTCCTTAAACAGAAGTCTGACAAGTAAAATAGATTTTTTTGTGGCGAGTCTGAAGTAATGGCTGCTGAAAATTAAGCTTTGCCATCACAGGAAAAATTACTAAAATATATTTAAATAGATAATTATTTTAAATTATAGCAATATTTCAAAATAATTCTGCTTTTACTGTATTTTTGATCAAATAAAATGCCTTGGTGAGACGTTATAAAATAGAACTTTATAAAATATTCTAAAATCTTTTGAATGGTAGTGCATACTGTCATATTAATGTTTGGAAGGCAAGAACTGCATTACTCCGAGATATTTTCCATGTGTCTTTACTGTGCATGTACATTTTAAAATTTAGGGTCACAATTAGAAAATTACAAACAGATTAACAAGTAATTTATTGACTTCGTCTGACAGGTCATGCAACCCACATGTAATTCATACAAACATAATAGTAATCTGATCGTGTAAAACAGATTACATGTGGTCTGTTAATAGCCAACACTGATAATGAATGTTAAGAAAATCAAAATAAATTCAATAATACTGAATACTGATGAACATGCTCTCATAATCACTGTAGCACTGTAACAGGTCTATCATGTTTTAATGGTGATTTATAAAGACAAAATTACAACATTCAAAAAAAGGTATTGTCTCTCATATAAAAAATATAACAGCAAGTCTGTAAATAAGCAAGAAAAAAGTTATGTACAGTGGTTTGCAGACTGAATTACTTACAGTATACACTTACATACATAGTAGGTTTGTTTCCCTGCAATTGTCTTGAAACAAATCCACTTGTGCTTAAGAGCCACAGGCCTCAATGATAATTACTCCGTTATAAAAAGCAAAAATCTGACTAAATATACAGATTTTTGCTGTGGACTGCAAAGACCTTTTAATGTGTCTATTTATAAATTAGAATTGAACATTTAGATAAATCAAATCGTTTGACTTATCAAAGAACGACTAGTTTAAAGATTCTCAATTAGTGGCCAGTTTGCTCCCGATGATCGCTATTAAAAACACAGTTATTGCAACAACATTGCACAAATGGACATCAAATGGTATGGTAGATACACACAATTTCAAAGAGAAAACAATGTTTGACATTTGGATTGCGTGAATACTACACAACATTTTCCTCCACAATTAATCAACATACAGCTTGCAAAAATGTAGACATCTTAAATTCTGTAACTACATACATTATACAATGTCAAACAGCTTAGTTGACAGTTCCCTGGGCCACCACATTTGACCTCAACGCTAACTCAAGCTCTATAAGCAGAATGACACCATGGCAAAGCAAAGCATGGAGGAGTTGATATGGCATGCGGAGACATTGTCCTTTGAGCTACGGTTCAGGACAGGTCCAAACACTAGTCTGAGGAGAGGTGTGTGTATATCCTTGCTTCCGAAGCAGCTAGTTACCGTCATGCCTCTGAATCTTCGACAAACCATCTGAAGCTCGGTCTTCACTATGCCGCTTCAAAGTACTTGTCCCTCTCCCTAAACACAAAAACAGCTTGAGGTTGTAATTTTTTACAAAATCATTGTTCGAGTGGCATGGAAATTGTACAGTACCATTCAAAAGTTTAAAGTTTAAACTTTGATCAAAAGTGACAAAGACATTTATAATGTTACAAAAGATTTATTTTTCCATCACAGGAATAAATGACATTTTACAATATATTACAACAGAAAACAGTTATTTTAAATTGTACTAATATTTCACAATATTATCTTTCAAAAACATTAAAAAAAAAAATCTTACCACCCCCAAACGTTTGAATGGTAGCGTAACTGTCCACAGATCAATAGCCCTGATTTTGAAAAGTCTGTGCTTTCATCAAAATATAATCCTCCACAAACATGAGGTAAACCCTTCTTTTCATTGCAAGATCGGGTGTGTTTAAACTAGCCTGTCATTGACTTGTTATAAGCAAATCACAACAAAGAACAAATTATATAGTGTAGTTCAATTAAATGAAAACATTTTAGGCCACAGTGAGACAGCTTGAGTTCAGAATATGCTAGGAGTCCTCCGAGACCGTTTGAACAGAACTCACCTCTCTGTGACTGTTTGTGAGCTTGTCCAACCATACCAACACCTGAGTAACCTAGATCGGAAAGACAGACATCTTAATAAAGCAGCCTCACATGTAAGCAGCATTTATTATATTTCAAAATCCATGCATCTGTCAATACATACCTGGTTGTGGCTGTACACTGTTGACAGACAGTTGATCACATGACACTGTAAATGGTGAGAATTTTGGTTGAGAACTTGCTGGTGATGGGTGCACTGCTGGTAAAGAAAGGGTAAATATTCCAACACAAGTATAACTGAAATGAACCAAACTGCCAATACACATGATGAATAAAAGTGCACAATATAACTAAAATTGGATCAATTAGACCAGGGTTTCACAAAAACGGGGGTTCTTTACACATAGTTTATTTACACGTTTGCATAATTTCCAAAATTTTTGTGAACAGAAGTTAACAGCATTTCAGCCAAAATAAAACGGAGCATTTGAAATGTTTAAAGCTTAAAAATGTTTGAAAATCAACAACTTTTAGGCATCAATATTAGTATTGTAACTTGTAATGTATTTAAAATCATTATAATGATACTCAATATTTTACAATACAAGTGCATTTTATTCCATTTTCTTACTGGTTATGTGACCAATAACCAGAGAACCATAAAGGTGTCATTAACTTATGTACTTCAAGTATATATTTTACATGTAAGGGGTTCGGCTGATGAAAACATTTGGAAACCCCTAGATTACAGCAAAAGCTCTCAGCATTATCAGACATTTCCAGAGATGAATTATAAGATGAGTATGACAATGTGCTTGTTGGTTTACCTGTAATGTGAGTGCTCTCCTGTGTGTCGTCTCCTGAGGAAGGACCTGCTCCATTACCATATCCATTGTTGGTTGCGTTGGATGGAACAGTTGCAAGGAGCCCTGAAAAGCATTACAAGAAAGTTAAACGAGATTTTTTAAGAGTTGGGGTTTTGAAAAAGCTCTGCATTTTCTTACCTAGGCCCCGGTAGCAGGACAGCTGCTGGTAAATCTGCTTCATTCGCTCGATGTTTATCCTGCTGGCCTCAGCGTGATTAACCATGGGTTTAGGATAGTGCACTCCAATTATGCATTTAGCGATCTTCTGAACACTTTCTGGGGCATTCCAAGGGTCATAGATGAATTTGGCAGGGAAGCCCCTCAATATGGGCAAATAGCGTCTGTAATAATAATCATAATAATAAAATAAGCATTCAAAGAGAATGGTCTCAATATTGAAATAAACTGGTAATTTATATTTAACTGAATGTTTGTGGATGTCAGCAAGGGTTAAGAGTGGTACCTTATATAGTCTCCATTTGGGTCGGTACGTCGACCAAAGCCCACCGGACAGTAACAGTGAAAAAACTGCTGGAAGAATGAGCTGCATGAAAGCCACATCCAGCTTCCAGCGTTGACGCTCCAGTCTGCATCCAGCAACAACTCCTCAAACACCTTTAAAAACAAATCAAACAAAATCAATATAGATTTTAATACAGAAAGCAACAACAGTTCTTTTATTGAAATTCAGAACAATGATTGCAGTACCTTCATGCCCTCTTCCCAGCTGATCCACAGGTCTCCACGTGTGAGGAAGCAAGCTACAGCGTGCCTGGCCAGATGGTGGATCCAGCCCTCCTGCCTCAACTGGGTCATTATGGCATCAATCCACGGGAAACCAGTCCGGCTCTCTGACCACTTCGCCAGAGCTTCGGGGTTCCTGTCCCATGGGATCTGCACGCAGATGGGATTGAACTCCATTTTGTCGAAGTGTGGGTTGTTAGTGGCAGCCGTGTAGAAGAACTCACGCCAGAGCAGCTGGCCATAAAGGGACAGTGGTGGGACACTATTTTTCTTGACCTGCATTTGAAAAGCCAGGAAAAAAAGGATGAGAATAACTTGTCAGCCACTTAAGATCTTATGATCGGTTATCAGAGTGATGAAAAATACCTTAAAAGTCAGAGTAAGACGGTGTTGTTCACCTTTACCTTTCTGTAGAGGTCTGTTAGTTTGAAATGGAAAAGTCTGCAGGAGAGGCAGCCAAACCGGAGGTAAGGGCTCAGGCCTGTGGGGCTGGCCAGCAAGGAATTAGCATTCATTCTGGGACGCTCAAAATTAGCCACCCAAGCCTGAAAAAAAAAAGCCCAATAGGAAGTAGTTAATATATACAAACTATACTAACGGTCAAAAGTTTGGAGTTTTGGGGGTTTGGAGAATTTTTTTTTTTTTATGTTGTTGAAAGAAGTCTCTTATGCTCTCCAAGGCTGGATTTATTTGTTGAAAAATACAGTAAAAACAGTAATATTGTGAAATATTATTACAATTTAAAATAACTGTTTTCTATTTTATTATATACTTTAAAATGTAATTTATTCCTGTGATGGTAAAGCAGAATTTTCAGCATCATTACTCCAGCATCACATGATCCTTCAGAAATCATTCTAATACGCTGATTTGCTGCTCAAGAAACATTTATTTTTATTATCAATGTTAAAAACATTTGTGCTGCTGAATATTTTTGTGGAAACCATGATATTTTATTTTCAGGATTCTTTGATTAATATTAAGTTCTAAAGAACAGCATTTATTTAAAATGTATTTATAACATTATAAATATCTGTCACTTTTAATCAATGTAATCCATAAACTTTAATGCATAAACTATATTTAATGCATAGAGTTTTTGTTCATATTTTAAATTATATTTTATTTTTTACAATTTATGCTTTCATGTTAATTTTAGTTGACGCTAATAATTGTATTTTTGTCTTCTTTATTCGTTTTTTTGTTGTTGTTTTCAAATATATCTAGTTTTTATTCATTT